AACAATCCAATGTTTATCTGAATATTTGGAAATTCTAAATTTCTCAAGTTTTAATAAGCAAAGCCAAAGCCATTGTTCAACCTTATCATTTCGTATCTTTGAACAGGGTTCAACCATAGAAATTAGGTGTTTATTTTAGTCCCGACATGTCATTAATGATTCTTTCAAATTATACTCTCATAATTTCGTGAATACTCTTATATAATCCATATGACCTCCCCTTTTTGTTCAGTGTAAATTATTCAGGTAAGATTTTTACAACGATAATAGATTTTTTAAATGTTCAAATTAGCTAGATTTCTCCATTCATTCTTAACGATACATTAAATATTTTTGCTTGAATTTCTACAAGACTTATAATGAGTACTTATGAGTAAATTTCAAGTGGAAATGAATGCGTATCGGGTAAACCCCCCCCCCCCTATCCCAATTTTGGAATTTTGCGTCCCCTAGTAAAATTGCCACGCTACGCCACTGTACATTTATATGTATATGTAGTATATGTAGGTCACAATTACATGAAGTATAGGTCACAACTGACTGACTCTCATTGTGGATATCTTTCTCAAATTTTCTACTCAGTCAAAATTGTTGGGCACTTTTGTGTAATAGACAACAAAAAAGAAATATTTTCCAAATGTTTTTTGGGGTTTTCACTGCAGTCATGCAAGAAATTGCCTATTTCCAGAAAATATATCACTTTAAAAAACCAGTCAAATGACAGTTCTCTAATGCACATTTTACAGAGAGGAAGAAAGATTGGATCTCCCATCTGATGGATGGTATACTACATGTACATGTCATGTACAGTACTACATATAGGTATGTGTACAATGTTTACTTTACTGATGTGCCACACCCACCCTGAAGTGTGGTCAAGCAACGTTGATAATGTTTAATCGCTGTTGTTTATCGACATTGAAATGCACTATTTTCTGTAATGTTATCATTACAAAAAAAGTGCATTGACGTTTATGTTTATAATCTGCAATGCAACATGCCACAGTTTAACTTACAAGACTCGTCCATTTGGAAATGTGGATAGAGCATGGAACACTCCTCTGCAACATTGACAGTCAACCTATCCACCATATAAGCTGATAAGCCTGACCCTGGCCTAAACTTTAATCTGCTGTCCCTATCTTCATAAAACACAAGTTTGAAGTATCTTTCAAATGCGGCATCTAAAATATCACAGGACATTCCTGTAGCTGAAAATCTGAAAGTATCCTGACTCAATTGCCAAGATTCTTTCGTTTGAGAGAATTTTTTAGGCATTGGCCATGGTTGGCCAAGTGTTTGTCCAGCAGGTGGTGTAATCTCGTAGCCTACTTGTGTATTTTGATGAGACACATCAACAAAAACAAAAAGAAATATCAAAAACAAAGTATTTGCAACCTCCATCTTGAATGATCATGTGATGACACACACCTCTGATCATGTGACCTTCATTTGAAAGTAGGTCAACTTCTTTAATGTCAAATTTAGTCACTCAATGCAGTTAGAACAAATAAAATTTGTTATAGATAATTGGCTATTATTATATTGATGTTTCATATCAATAATACGTGAGAAAACTACAGAAATTACAAATTAATCTCAGGGAACTGATAGTAGGGGTAGAAAACGGAACAGCGTAAACAAAAATCTGTATAGGTGGCGCTTCTAAATTGATTTCCGGCTGATAACGTATTTTTTTTTATTTTTCCTTTTATTACATGTTTATCGTGTGCGAGACAAAATCGTCATCCGATAACATAGCAGAAACTATTGAGGGAGCCAAGAAAGATGTGTGACTGCTGTGAAGGACAGGTAAACTTTGAAATTTCAATTTGCAAAGCATTGCAAATTTTTTATTATTTTTTTCAAACACTAGATCTAGACTAGCTTTATAAACTCAACTGCAAAGTACTTTGAAGTAAAAAAATATGAAGATGATATAATATTGACCGTCCAAATAGCTCAGGGGTAGCGTGTGTACCATTTAAGCTATAGGTACCGTCACAGATTTGATCCCTGGTTCGGGCAATTGCAAGATGTATATTTGTACATGTACATATTTATATATGTATATTTGCTCATACCAGTGCGATAAAGTTGACACTAGACAGAGCAACAGCAGATTTTCCCTCATGTACAAAATAGTAAATGACAGGGTAGAAATCATATCTTCAGATTTCTTTATCCCCCTCAGATCAAAGACACACCATGAAAATATTTTGAACTTCACCACATACTCTTGCATTTGACATACTCAAATACTCTTATGTACCAGGACCATTGTTGAATGGAATAAGCTTGATGACACCACTGTTACCAGCCCATCAATAGAACTCTTTAAAAAAGGACTATCTAATAAGGACTAAATCATTTAAAGTCTCACAAATAATCCCCTTCAGGGTCACCTCTATATATTTTCTGTATTAAGTATTTCACACATTTCACTATTTTTTGTAGTCACGTGTTTAGATAAAGGAAAACAGCGCTTGTTCTCTCAGTCATGAACATTATTTACTCACTTTTATGGTGAGTTAAATCCAGGTAACATGATTCCAAAATCTGAAAATCTCAACTTAGAAGACAACTTCTATAAACTGGAATGATTTCTCATTGAAATTGATCTCATGATATTCACTTTTGTTTTCTTGATATTCTCACAAAATTGATAGTGTAACCTGAAGTACTATTACCGTACTTTAGAATTTATCATGTTCAACTGAGATAACTGCCATTTCTACTATTTCAAATTTAGCTTTTGGCATGCTACATATGTAGGTTCTAAGATGTGATTGTGGTTGTTCATGTGATGATATCCTACAAATTGATTAGATAAGGTATCGAGTATCGACTGATGTGCATAATGCTGATTAATATTAATGAGTGGCACAAAATGGAAAGTAATTATGGAAGCTATACTCACTTCTTAGATCATTGTCAAGATTGCAATTGTTTGATTGGTCAATTCCAGGTCACATGACATGAATAATTTACCATTGATTATAATCAAATATTAGAATTATTTACTGAAATATCACTTTGTATTATTCCAGCTTGATTGCTGTTGTGGTCCATCTGCCCCACGTGCATGTTGCGCCTGTTGCCCAACTGTGAAGGAGTCTACAAGTACTAGATTGATGTACACTGTCTTCATGGTAGTGATCACCGCCTTGTCATGTACAGCACTTGCCCCTCAGGTAGAGGAATATGTCATGAATGTGGTGAGTTCAACTTCTTAAATTAGTATTTTTAGTTTGTTTTTCATTTATTTCAAATTAAATAGATGTTTACATAATGTACAGGGCCTTAACACCAAATTATTATTGGCTATGTCAAAAATTCAGTGCATATTCTAGTATAAACTCTTTTTTTACATGTCATTATAAAGACAGTAAAACATATATATTGGAACACCTCTCCAATCTGAACACTTCAATGTTTACTCTTTTTGGTCAATTTCTTTCATCTGCCATAGACTTCCATGTTTAGAAACCATGAAATGTGAACACTTGCCAATCCTGAACACAGTGCTCCCAAGGACGTGTCCTAACATGGGAGAGGACCCAGATATTGATTGAAGGTCAAAAAAGGTTAAAGGGTGAATGTCTTGTGACTTTTCTCCTGGACAATCAGTATGTTCCATTCTAATGGATTATATACCATCTTACATATCTTAATGATATATTGAGACCAACTTTTTGAGCACAGTATTCCCAAAATACTGAGAAAATCAATGGAAAAACCAACAGAACAAGCAACTGTCAGATAAAACACAATTAGTCTAAAGCAATATACAATCATTCTCAAGGTCAAAAATGTCTTCAACTTGCTTCAAATTGAACAATTTTTTCAAAATTATCTACAAGTTCTTAGAAGTTCAAATCTGACTTTAGATTTGAGATTTCACTTTCAATGACCTTCTCAGGGTCAAAAAAGGTCTTTTTCAACTTGCTTCATTGACCAATTTTTTTGAAAATCATCTACAGAGTTCTCAGAAATTCAAATCTGACATAAGATTGAACTAATAATATTGTAAGCAACTAGGTGTAGTGTGACATTTTGTCATGTTAATGCCTTGTTTTCATTGTATTGCATGTACTCCAGATAAAGAATACATGAATCAGAAAAAAGTTTGCACCTATTAATTGTTGATACACTTATACCTAAAACCAAAGGGAACAATGGGCAACATTTTGAAAACAAGAGTTGAAGAATAGGAATTAGGGTTTTTAATAAGAAACTAAAACTACAACCTAGGACAGTTCACACTACATAATTAAATTGAAATGATGTTTTGATTTACTTTCTTTATTTCATTGTATAATATGTAACTGTCTAAATTTAGACGCAAATGGGACCCATTTTTTAAAATGTTGGGTCTCTGGGACATCACGATTGAAAGCCCTGCTTTTGCTCATCACAGTCGTGCTATATTAGATGATACTTCATTCTATCGTTGTGATGCATGTTAAATATTTTTTGTCACAAACATCTCCCTGAGTTATAATCATTGTGGGATGAATTTATATGACAAAATATAATTCAGTTAATTCCATGCATTCATTGCTTTGAAATTTAAATACTAATTTGCAAACAGATTGAATATAAAAAATATTTAATTTTTCTACAAATTACGCAGAAGGTTGCATTTTAATGATGTGATGGAGCACTTTACTTTGGAAGATCATTTTCTTTGTAATGTGATGTTTTTTCAGTATGTCTGGAAATTTAATACTAGTAATTTGTATTCTGTAAATATTTCAGGTGCCTGATCTTAATGTAAGCTGTGTACAGATTGGCTTCAATGAGAATTGCCTCAGCCTTGTAGGATATATGGCAGTCTATAAACTTTGCCTGGCAGTAGTCACTTTTCATATACTTTTGGCAATCATTACATTTTGGGTGACTACAAGTGCTGGTTGGAGAGGTGGAATACACAATGGGTGAGTAGCAACAGGGTATTATATATACATACATTTATTATATCATTAGAATGTTTCTTGTTTTCTCATTGGATAAGAAGTGATCACATGATTAAAAAGAGGTGGAATACACAATGGGTGAGTAGCAACAAGGTACTATTATGGGCTTTGAAGAGTTGAAACCCCATGGTACTATTCAGAGGTTATGTCACCAGAAAACATTGTCGTATACCTGTGCTTTTATAAAATTGGATCTTGATTATACTTATCAATTCACTTCACAGACACATAATCATTGTTTTTTCAAATGCTTATGATATTTTTACCATTGACTGATCGGTTCTGACGATTACTCCCCATATACCACATGGATTAGTGCCATCTATTTCCAAACAAAATATCAAGTCACAAGGACAAAAGAAGTAAGTTCAATATCACATTGTAGATAGCCTAATAAATTATCATTATTTTTTTTAAGTGTGCTCTTGTTTTTTTCTAGGTATTGGTTATTCAAGTTCCTGATCTTGGGAGGATTTGTTGCTGGGGCATTTTTCATACCTGGAGGAACATTCAGTGGAGGTAAAAATTCTACATATTAGTTATAATACATATTAGTTAATAAGAATTCTACATATTAGTTATAATACATATTAGTTAATAAGAATTCTACATATTAGTTATAATACATATTAGTTAATAAGAATTCTACATATTAGTTATAATACATATTAGTTAATAAGAATTCTACATATTAGTTATAATACATATTAGTTAATAAGAATTCTACATATTAGTTATAATACATATTAGTTAATAAGAATTCTACATATTAGTTATAATACATATTAGTTAATAAGAATTCTACATATTAGTTATAATACATATTAGTTAATAAGAATTCTACATATTAGTTATAATACATATTAGTTAATAAGAATTCTACATATTAGTTATAATACATATTAGTTAATAAGAATTCTACATATTAGTTATAATACATATTAGTTAATAAGAATTCTACATATTAGTTATAATACATATTAGTTAATAAGAATTCTACATATTAGTTATAATACATATTAGTTAATAAGAATTCTACATATTAGTTATAATACATATTAGTTAATAAGAATTCTATATATTAGTTATAATACATATTAGTTAATAAGAATTCTATATATTAGTTATAATACATATTAGTTAATAAGAATTCTACATATTAGTTATAATACATTTATGATATATATTGTCATCACAAAATATGGCCTGAAATGTGGATTGTATAAAATAACCCATCTACTGGTATACCATATGTGTGACCATGAATGTCTATGATTTTCAAAAACTGTAAACTATTGCTACTTGTCATCCCACTGAACCATAGTGAAGCCGTCTAGTTGAATGCCCATGCTCAAATACTGTACAGGTTGACAGATTGGAATTCAGTTTTAAAGACAATGGACACAAAGAAATTCTCAAGATGGCTTCTGAATTCAAAATGGCCATCATTTTTTCTAAAAAAATGCAATCTTTGTTACCTTAAATACTAATGAATTATAAGTTCACATTTTATATGGTGATGCCCTTGGGACTCTGCTTATATGTTGTCGTAGTTTGGTTGTATGTTATTGCAGTTTGGTTGTATGTTGGAATGGCAGGTGGTTTCTTGTTCATCATTCTACAGCTGATTGTATTGGTGGATTTCTCATACCAGTGGAATGGTAAATGGTAAGTATCTTCAGAATAGTACTCACTATTTTTTACATATACGACTAACATACAGAAACTGTACGTCTACATAATTTTGTGGCTGTTTATATTTGGTGAATCTGCCAAATTCAGTATTTCATGTTTTAATCGGAAAGTATGGTATATATATATGTACATTTCAATATTGCAAGTCCGCCAAATTAAGTAGCCGCCAAATGTTCAAAACAGCAATTCCACCAAAATAAGTAGCACCAAATTAAGTAAAAGTAAAGTATTCAATATACACATATTTTGAGTGTTCCTTAACATTTAATTTGCTCATATACATTGGATCCCAGCAGTTGTCTTCAAAGGGCCGTGAAAGTAAATCTTAAATACACGCCCTGTTGAATTGCAATATAAACTAAAACAACCCAATAAGGTGTGTATTTAAGATTTACCTTCCTGTTATCTCAAAATCTGCTTTGAACTGAACCATTGGATTTACATGGGAAATTCCCCAAAGAGAAAATTCTAGGGATGAAAGAAGGTGTCAGCATTAAATAATTTGACAAGTTATTGTCATACATGAAACCTATTTAAAACAGCATTCATCTTATTCGAAAGCATTGATTATCAATGATTCCAAGCCCTTTGAAAAATACCTGGGTGTTAATCCATGGATAATTCTTGAAAATGAGATATAATTTTTTGGATCATATGGTGTCATCTTATAATCAATAAAATGTGTATTCCTGTTTTTAAGATGAAAAACATAAGCGAAATGCATAGAAAAAACTCCCCAAATCATTCTACAAACAACTCGCGGCCCTTTAATTTGAAATTTGGATATGCCTTATATAGATTTATTTTAAGATGTTTACCTCATAATTGCATTTCTTCATTTATAGGCTGGACAATGCAAAGACAAACAAATGCTATTATCTTGGTGAGTGTCTTCTACACATTCAGTCAATCAGCAGATTTTTAAAACAAAATTTGAGCTGTCTTGTTGAGTAGATGTACTTATAGTATGGTGTAGGTGAACACTGAACACCTCTAGCTCTCTAAGGTGAACACCATAGGCTTACATGAACATCTTCTGTATATTCATCCCATATATGGATAGTTTGAGCTATGCATGTTGCAGTTTTGTGAAATATTTTCATCCTCCAGCCTTCCAGCAGATGCCCTCTAGTAGCTATAGAGAATTGAAATCCTATATCATACACGTTTCTGAATTTAAAATTATAGGATATCTTATGGATTTGAAAAAATATCATTATCCATGAGTTGATATTGATATCTTCAGGAGTGAGCACAGCAAATTAGTGAAGATATTAATATCCATGAGTGGATACAATTGATATATTTGAAAAATCAAAGGATTGTCTGTTTATCCCATAGGAAATCAGCAGCAGCAAAAAAGGTTAAATTTTTGAAAAAGAAAAATAAAATTGAAAAAATGTAAAAAATTGAAAAAAGATTTTGTTAAAAAAATCAAAATCAAAAATCTGGACCATCAAATATCACTTTTAAAACTATCAAAAATCATTTTTGAAACCATCGATTTGAAACCATTTTTTTAAGAAGAGATAATCAATGGTTTGGGAATTTTTGCTTCATTATGATATCTTGATCCACATATCAAATATATCTTCACATGATATTCGATCTATATCCTTGCAACCATGGGATAAAAGATAATACATATATTCCGAATTTCATACAGGATAATACAATCCTGAACCTGTCCTCATATAGGATAATACACATATCCTGAACCTCATATAGGATAATCTCTATATTTCAGCCCTGTTATCTGTGTCTGTCATATTCTTCTGTGTAGCAGCAGTGGGTGCAGTCCTGCTATTTGTCTTCTATACATCATGGGACAATGTGGAGGATTGCAAACTCAACAAGATCTTCATAGGATGCAATGCAGGAGCTTGCCTTATAATGTCAGTCATCTCAATTATGCCGTGTACGAAGAAATGTAAGTCAATACCTTGACAGACATTGTAGTCTTTAGTATTCTGTGAATGTTATGTGGATTTATGCATAGCACATGTATAGTTGATGTGCGATCATGTTTATATATTTATCCTATGCCAAGTAGAGTTTTAGGGAGATAAGTTGGTAAGATATATCCCGTATCCTGATTTTGAGGTTTCCACATCCAGAACCTCCATATCTCCCGCCATATCTCCCGCTTCGGTGCATATCTTCCCGCTTCGGTGCATATCTTCCCGCTTCCGGTAAGTAGTGGAAATGCAATAAAATGACTTTGCATATGAATGATTTGTTTAGTTATACACCTTGTACTATTGACATGGCCATATGCCCCCGAAACCTCTACTTGGTATAGGATAAAGCAGTTATGTACGGTCGGTTTGGATATTGGGTTCATCCCTCGTGAGATATGCACATCTATCTTCGGTCCCTACGGTCCCTCAGGTAGATATGCATATCTCCCTCTGGATAAACCCCATATCCAAAACCTCCCAGTACATAACCCTTATAAATCCGATTGAACAAAGTTTCAGTAGGGAATTGAGTGTCCATTCATTAGTGTATTTGGTTCATTGAAAAAGGGATGTTATGAACCAAATATTTTTCTCTCATATTTTGGCTGTTTCTAATGTAGTTAATCATTGCTCACTCCTGACTTTGTTAGATATTTTACTTCATGATTGCAATTACAGTGAACAGAAACACAGGCTACCTCCCTGCATCGGTGATCAGCGTATATGTCATGTATCTTACCTGGTCAGCATTAACAAGTCAACCAGCAGGTATTACTGTAATCTATTAATCCGATTTAGTCAAACGTATAAAAATGTTTTATAAAAATGTTGCTTTCAGAGTCCTATCATTTATATACAGAAACTGTTTATGACATTAGAAGAAACATTTTTTCTTGGATTTGTTCCTTTATAAAGAGTTGCCAGTTTTTTAGTTATTGTTTTAATGATTTTAGAGAAAATTGGAGAGGAGAATCCACTGGCGATTACAGGTGGAGAACGACCCCCAAGACAATTCTGTACCCCTCAGGATACTACAGGGACCAGGCAGATGCTCTCTGCCTATGTTGGAGTGGTTATAATGTTTTTCATGGCCATATATGCGAGGTAAATTCACATACCACATGCATTTGGCGATTGAAGATAATTTTGTAAATGTAACTTAAGATGATAATTGATAAATAAATAAAAATAAATAAAGTACCACAAAACACAAATAATAAGTCTCAGATTTGAGAAGAAACATCTAAGTGTATTCTGGGTTTCCAGTATTTCTCTCTATGTAATATATGTATACAGTTATATATTACACATGCACTCTGTTTCAGTTTACGTACATCAAATGAGTCTAGTAGACTTGGAGTTCAGCCCAGTGGAGCTCATGTAAGAATTATTACTTACATATTTCTCATAGATGCACTTATTTCTGAAGCACCCCTTTTTTATAAATATATATTTGAAAATGATTATATTCTTTTCAGGTTTACTGTCTAGCATAATTTGCCTGTCTGAAAATGACTTCTTTCAACAAATGTATCATACTTTATAGAATGCATCTGTCTAAAATCTTTCATTCAATATTAATATCATCCCAGACTGTACATTAGATTCAATAGACTTTAAGGGCTTTCTTGCTGTTCTGTTGTGTATGCTACTTTAGTTATTGCTAGTTATCCTATTTGATAATATCTTCATTGACTAATCTTACATTTTAGGAGGCATCATGCTGCAAAATCTGTAGGCATAAACGTAAGTACGTTTACAAACCGTATATATAGAAATGGACTTAAATTTTAGGGAATAGAAAATCTGTTTGATGGATTTTTTATACTGCTCAATTTAAATGCCTACAATTTTACTTGAACAACTTAGCATTTTGGGTGATTGAATATTACAATCTTACAAGTTTTAATTTTTGAAAAAAGGAGACTGTCACGAAATGTTCCAAACAAGGAGAGATTTTTAAAGTGTTTGGATATTTATTAGAATCTCCTACCAACCTGCAATAACATGTTCAGAAACTTAATACCAATATTCTTTTATTTCTACTAGGATATGAGAACTCTGGTGGGCAGACTGTGTCTTTCAATGAATCAGAGGGTGTGAATTATAGCTATTCTTTCTTCCATCTTGTGTTTGCATTGGCAAGTCTGTATATAATGATGCAACTCACCAATTGGTATAGGTATGTCACCCTCAAGTCTTCATGGCTCTATATCATGTGCAATTTGCAATATCAAGTGCAATACTTATCAAGTGCAATATACAATAGTAAGTACAATGTATAAACAACAATAGCTCAATATCATCTACAATTCTTCAAATAGTTTAATATCAAGTGTGTTTCCTTCCAACATTAAGTTCAATAGCTCAATATCAAGAACAATTCTCACTACCAAAAACAGAATCAAAATCATGTCACCTTGAAATCAGCTAATGTGAATGTTAAACATGTAAAATTTCAATTGCAGGCCAGAAAAAGCGAACATTAATAAATTTGGGACAAATTGGCCATCTGTATGGGTGAAGATGGCCTCCAGTTGGATGTGTATTGTAATATATGTGTGGACTATGTTCATTCCTAAATGCTGCCCAGGGAGGGATTTATCTCAGTTGGAACGATCGGATCTGGAAATAGGAAAAGCCAGAGGAAATCAGGAAGCTTCGACTCCATTGAGGGGGTCCCCTGTTAGGCGGGGATCTAGAGACCAACTCGGTGGCTCAAGAGATAGACTTAATAGTAAAGGCAATCGGGGATCTAGAGACCGACTTAATAGTAAAGGTTCTAAGGGGTCTAGAGATAAACTTAATACATTTATATAGACCTTTTGAAATGCAATATTTTCAAAAATATGAAATATTTTAAAAATATTAGAATATTGCAATATTTTTAAAGGTTATCGATATTAAATTTGAAATATTTAAAAGCATGTTAGTGAATTAACAAAGATTTGCCATAATTTATCTCATAAAATGTAAATAAACTTGTTTATAATGCTTATTCCAATTATCCAAAGGTTGCAGTGGAGTTCAATGCTACATTTCTATTATATTAGTTTACTCTACAGGGTTTATAAAGAGGGAAATAAATACTCTCTGTATATCTAAAGCCGACTTGAATCAGTCAGTAAAACATGTATATCTAAACACCTCTAATCTGAACACCTCTCAATGTGAACACTTTCACAATCCCAATTTTGTTATACTAATTCACATTTTAAGAAACCTTGAAATGTGAACACCTGCAAATCTGAACACTTTTGGCCAGTTCCAGTGGCATTTGCAGTAGTCGGGTTTTACTGTACTATTTTAAGCAGATTGGGACTACCTCATGTTTCACCTCAAATTGAGCTCACTAGCATTGAAACCTGAAATTAAGTAAGCTAAAAATGTAAGTCAGAGTAGATCATGACCATATTTGGAAAAATTGGCATTGACGCCCCAGGGTGTTCCATATATGGAAATGGTCAAAAAGTTAAAAACACATTTACACCCAAATAGGAATCTAGAGTGCATGGGCGTAGCGCCCGGAACGCTGGGTACCCACAGGCGTACCAGATGGTTGCAAATTCGCTCCAAATACAACCATATTTCAATTTTTTTTTAGAAAATAGCGCTACGCCCATGAATGCATAAAAAGTTGGAATATTTTTCAATAAATTATATATCTTTAAGTGAAATCTACTTATTATATGTATATTAATATAAGAATATGATGTACGCATACTTGTTATAAATCCATGCATAAATATATCGCATACACACATGTACAAAAAGTATACTATAGGTATAGGTTTTACTAGTTAAACTGCATTTATGTATTTAAATATAACATTTTCATGGCACAGTGTTGTAATTATGTATTAATTCCATTTGAAATGGATAATTCATATTATTGTAACTCAAGAATATTTTAATATATTTCAGTGAAGGACTCCAAGCAGGGTTTCCAACTGGCCAGTTCGTTTCAAGAATAAACAACACAAAGTCATTTACTGTATTTAGTTAATGTATTTAGATACAAACTAGAAAGTAATTAAGACATAACTTACAAATATTTATGTTATTTAATGTAATTCAAGAATTGCATATTTTTGTATTTTTCTATGTTTTTGTTTTGCTTAAAGCAGTTTATAAATCCAGATCATGAAGTATGAAGTCAGAGTGTTTAGTCTTCTATTTTATAGTCGATTGGAGTCTTGTACTTTTATAGTCGATTGAGCGACTTCAAATTAGTCTGTAAACTCAAGAAATCATTTTTTATGTTTAGGTGCTAATAAGTCCTTAAGTCATAATGAGTCAGAGCTTTCAATGATACTCTTAAAAGAGATCCAAGATCAGTGGTAGGTGAGGCAAATCTAAATTGGCAAGACAATAAATCAAAATAGGTGAGGCAAATGGAAAAGGTGAGGCAAATCTAAAAATAGGTGAGGGAAATTAGGCTAAACAAGATGCAATACTACTGAACTTCCTTTCCATGTTTTTGTTGAAAAGGTGTCTTTTGAAAAGATGTATTTCTGTAAAATTTTGGTGAGCCAAAAAGCCTCATATGCCTCATCAGCCTGGCTATGCCTCACCAGCCTCATATGCCTATGCTCTAATCCACCTACTCCTAAGTTATGCCTGTATCTTAAGTGCCTTGAAGTATGCTATGGCTATTAATCAGTTACCAGGTAAAAAGATATAATCTTCCTTTGCATATTTGTGTGTGATTTGAAATCTTTGCTTTCCAATGTATTATTAAACATGCACTTTGTGAATAATGTCCATCAAAAAAGACATTATAAAAGAATGTGTATGACACGTGATAATGTAGAATTATGGTTATCTATTTAAGAAAGGAGATTTTGTTAGTTGGAAGTTTAAGTTTTACATTTCAATTTTAGATTTTAAGCTTTAAAAAGTTATTTGGAGTGATTTATATACTACATGTATATGGACAGCTTCCTCAATTTGAATCAGCTATTTTCATTTGAATAAATGTTTTTGAGAAATGCACTACTTTATTTAAAAATAAAATAATTTGAATTTACAAACAAATAAATTATGTTTGGCTTACTTTCCCCTTGGGAATTCTACACCTGTCCAATCTTTTATAGAGTACAATTTATCACTTATATACAATACACCCCCTCCATAAGTCTGGCATCTGGAAGTTTTCATTTGATAGCATATCAGATCCTATTAATGTTTAAATCTTAATTGTCTTCCCTAATTACAACAGTTCCGAAACTTAATACAAATTAACAGATGAATTATTTCAAATAGGAAAGAACAGGCGTGATCGAAAAGAAACATCCAGTTGCCAAACTTTTGAAGGGGGTGTAAATGAGCTAGGTAAGGTTCAAGAAGGCCATAACCATTCTAAGATAAGTGTTGAAAGTACATTTCACATAGTTTTAATAACTCACTCATATGCTGTATTTTCAACTTCCATTAGCATATGATTTTAACAAACAATTTAATGACTGACAACTGAATCCATGATTAAGTTCTTTCTGATATTGTCCATGGTGTACATTTACCAAATGTATGAAGAGATTAGTCAGGAAGATAAAGGTAGGTAATGTTAAATGTAGTTACACTCCACTAATAGGTTTGACAACCAGAAGTCCCTTTTTGAAGCACTTACTTAGTGTTAAGTTTGGGGACTTACTGTAATTTTAAGACAAAATTAATGCTTTAATATGCTGTCCAAGAAAAAGCTTCCAGTTGCCAAACTTATATAGGGGAGTGTCACATGTAACATAGTGGTGTGTCCATGGTGATTTTGTCAAATCTTTAAGAATATCAACTGTTGTACCACCCCTTGACATCATGATTTCCATGGTTACAATTATGAATTGTTTGATACCTTTTGGTTATATACCCCTGGTAAGGTAAATTGAGAAGGGGGAAGTTATAACCAAATTTTGGGTAAAGCAAAAAATTGGTTAAAACTGCCTAATCAAGAGGATTCAAATATGGACCTATCTCCATGTAAAGCTGAGCCACTGGAGGTTTACCTATGCATTCTGGGTAATTTCCTCCTGTTCACCTAATTTCAATTGTTCTTAGAGTTCTGTCCAGTTGAGTGCCTCCACTACTGCAATATCACCTGGCATGCTACTGGAATGTGTGTGCCACATGATGGGGAACAGTTACCATGCCAACGAGCTAGTGCAGGGAAGGATGGAATCTCAGGATATGAGAACTGTTTCTATGACGATGAACATGTTTATGCATGCTGCTATGTCAACATTGTGGAATATGATCATACTGAAGGAGTAGATAGTGAATCAGCTTGATCGGACAATTTGTTTGCATTTTCATATGTATTGGAATCTGCTATACAGCTGGGTTGGATAACTTTGTTATGAAGCATTTTGTCAAATAGCTCTAATTATTGAATAATTTTGTACCAGTTACCTAAATCCTTCGTTATGAAGCTGTTGTGTTGTTGTTAAAATGCTTCGCGATGAAGCAATTAATCAGTTTTTTATCTTGACTTTTTCCTCCTAAACTGGTTCATAATGTCATAGTAACAATTACCAAGGCAACAAATATAAAAAATATAATTTGCATAATCGCATTTCTGACTTTATTGCATACACCCTTCTCAATAAATAAAATTCAAATTTATTTATTCTTTTTTAAAGTCCGTTGTTTTTCAGCATGTTCAACAATTTTCTCTTGCACCTTGAGTCCTTTGCGTTTCCTGACTTGGTTCATGTATTTCTCAGCTTGGTTTGCGCTGTCTGCCTTCTCACCAAAGTGAATATACTCTTCATCCGTAGTCGGCACCCAATAGGGGTCTACATCAACAACCTGAAACAAAGTGGCAATGATTCAATCAGATTTTCTGTTTTTATTTTAAAATACCACAATTGTGATCTAGTCTAAAAACAAAAAGCTGGCAAGCTGAAGTGTACTAATATATCATTTGCAACATGTATCAATACCTAATTTGGAAATACTAAACATATTATAGATATTATGAATTATCAATAATGGACAACAAAAAGCTATTTTCTCCAAAATGAAGAAAAACCTAGGAGACTGGACCAATGGTGTAATTAATTGGCAACCCCCTCATAAAATGGATGGGTTATATTTCAAATTCTAATTTGATATGTTTGATGTGTGACTTCACATTAACTTGAACAATGGATTTACTGGTCTATAATCGAGTATGTAAATTTCATAAAAACAAATAGTTGTTTTGATAGTTTGTTCATCTTATTAGAATCATAACAAAGACTATGATTTATGTCAAATATATGACCTCAGATTTTATTCTGGCCATTGCCAAACACCTCAATTGCTAAGCTATTCCAGTCTAAATTCCAGAATAAAATTTTCAGTCAGATATTGTGCCATCTTGCCTTGTATTCAGGAATGTAACTAACGCCTGCCTGCTACCGGATTAACCCGCTATTTTATGGGCAAATCATCTAAACATGAACCTGCCACTATTCCATTCATATTTAAATGAGTTTGCCCAAAAATAGTAGGTTAGTCTGGTAGCCAACAGGCGTTAGTTGCATTCGCGAATACAAGCTTTAAGTCTTTATTCCTTGATGAATGGCAGTATTGATTTAATTGTTGAAGAATTGTTGACAGTCAATGAGACAAATGTAGGAGTAGGCCATCAAGAAATAAAAATGTAAATTATAAATTGTGACAAAGAGGTATTATTCAACAAATATGGAGGCAAACAAAAGAAAAGCATGAATTTGTTATTTTTAAACTTTATTTGCGCAACATAATGGGATACTAATACAAATAAAGTAATTGCAATATATCATTGTCAATAACTATCTAATTTCATTCTTGCGTTTGATGCGATTAAGATTTTCTTAAATACTTCAAATAAAGGTATGAGAAAAGCATGCCTGCAGTAATTGTCTTGGCAGTAAACAAAGCCACCACTGAAGACAGTAAAATATCAAATCCAAGATGATCTAAAGCAAATGGTAGAAAACCCAATGTAATGACTTAGCAAGCAGAACACACGATTGACATTTTTGTGTCTTTCTTATGCAGTAAAATTCCAAAGGAAAACAAAGCAAATGTTTGTATAATCGGCCAGAATGTGTACAACTTAAAAGGATAATATACTGCATTGTAATTTTCTTCAGAAATGTGAAATATATATAAAAATAAAACCCTCGTAATTGGTGTTATCCAGCACAATGAAATAGAAATCATAAATGAAAGTAATGCAATGATTGAGGTACAAATGACTAGTTCATGGTCAAAATGTAATGATGAGTTCATCCCAGATGCAAGGTATGCAGATACCATTGTTGCAATACTAGATAACATCCTTCGTAATGGGTATAATGATGAATGGAGAATATGAATGTTGGCCAGCGCCATCTGCCGCATATATCCTGATGGTCTTAGTTGTGCAACTATAAAGCTCAGGATAAATGCTTCACATTTTTCAAAGAAATATTGGAATCCTATAGGTAGTGTTAGTTTTACCATTTTATGGTATGTGAGTGTCTTTATACTTTCAGAAGGTAGATCATTGATCAAGTATAGTTTATATCCTACAAAGCTTAAGATAAGATAAACCAACGCTGCTACATATTTCACAGATACTAGTTTTCTGCATGAAAAAAATCAAAATTCTGCAAAAAATTCTGCAAGAAAAAAAGCAAATTCTGCAAGGAGAAAATCGAAATTCTGCACAAATTTTCAAAAAAAGTACAAATTCTGCAATCTTTTTCTATCCATCGAAAACGGAAACGGAAGTCAGCTACTTTCTAGGTAAGAACTGCGCGTCATTAGCGAACTCGCTTTAGCGAATTTAAACGTGATAGAATGTTGAATTTCACGGTGAAATCGTACTTGTACTCAATAATGATTGATTGTTGGACATAAACAGACACTCTTCAAATACCCCGCAAAGGTAGGAGATCGTAAAATATGTAATTTCTGGAAATTCTGGTAATTCCGCGGAATTTTCATGAAAATCAGGGATTCTGCAAAAAATTGAAGTTTTGTCAAATTCCGTCCACGCCGCGGAATTACGGAATACTAGTATCTATGATATTTTGATATTATGGGTATCAAGATTGGTCTTCTAGTTATTAAGGGTGTAGTCATGAGAGAGAAAATACTCCCTATTTTTGAGATGAACCTCAAAAACTCAGCGAAGAGACAAAAAGAGGTGTGTTTTTTCATTAATAATAATCCATGGATTGCAGATCCAATATTTAGCATAAGTGATAGCAAACAGAAGGATGCTATGCCAAATTGAATTTCTTCAAGTTGTTGATTAGTAATACGAAACAGCACTTGGATGGTGTATCCCACTCGTGTAAGACCGATCACAAGAAAAATGCCTGCTGTGATGGTGCTACTGCAAATGACAAAGAGCAGTCCTTTCTTTAAGTCCATTTTTGAGTTGACCAGTATTATAAATCCTTGGCTTGCCTGGCTTGGTGATAAGTATGCCCGAATAATGTTTGAAATGCTGATCGTCAATGATAAAACAACCAAGGATTCATTTACATCCCGAGTATATGTTTGGCTCCAATTGTCAACAATTGCACCTATGGTTCGTTCAATATTTGCTATAGCAACAGGTAGAAATATTTGAAATATGAATATGCACTTTTCCCAGTCATTATCAGTCACTTCATGAGCATTTAATGCCATTTTTGAGGAATCTTGCCTATTTAAAATTAGAATAGATCAGAATCCTAAGAATCTTAAAATACTACTACAGTCCAATATGGTATTGACTTTATGACCCTGTAGCATATGAATGAATGTAAAACAAGTAAATTTATTAGTACAGTGAATCTTTATATTGGTACACATCCACATATGGAATACTGTTTGAAATATGGTTAGTGACCCGTTAAGTTAAGGTAAAATAAACCCATTTTCTTTTTAAAATCTTACTACCCATTAAGTTAATGTAAAATATGAATATTAATTTACCTTTGAAAATAACAAATAACTGAAAAAACACTTGACAAGTAGGAGATAACAATTTATCACATATTATGTAAAATTCTAGTAATCTGATTGGTTGGTTACGGTGTGAGTTTTCCAATCTCACACGGCCGTCTCACACGTTACTAGAGGCAACCAGTGATGACGTTTCATATATTTGCCTTGGATTCTGATGATGCCATCACCACTTAATTGAAGGGAACACAAGGAATAAATGGGCCCATGACATAATAGTGTAATATTTTTGATTGTTTGTTATTGATTGTTATTGTTACTGATTAATAATTGGCTGTTTTTCATGTAATGAGAACGAGCCACATACCTATTGGCCAATCAAATAACTAGAATTTTAAATAATATATGATAAAATCGTTAACACACGTTTCAGGTTGTGTGATACGGGAAATCTTCCAAGAAAGTAAAATTGTATCACCACGAAAGCGAAGCTTGAGCGGTGATACATTTTTACTTGAGTGGAAGATTTCCCATACCACACGCTGAAAAGTGTGATAACTGATAAACTCATGTGAGCTAAAAGTGGCAACTCCATGGAGTAGCAAATCTCAATGGAAAATATTCATGAATCTGTATGTCATAATGTTATATTTACAATCTAGGAGATATATCAAAATTTCCAACAATTAAATCAATTGGGTGACCATTTAGGAGTTTCAAGGTCACAAATCATGAAGACAAGTTAGACAACAATTAATGTTTGAGATTTAATGTAATATAATGTAACCACACTTTGAAGAAATCGCGATCTACAGGGTGACACAAAACAATGCCACCCACTAATTTTGGAATGACTTTCTCAATAATTAAGGAATCTACTTGATATTTTTTGTATAGATAAAGTGTTCAATGGAACAAAAATTGTTGTTCTTAGATAGTATTAACAACATTCAGTTTAAGAGATAGCACGTTTTTTTTCTGTGAAATCATCAAAAAATGTTCCAAAATACAATTTTCTGAAATTGGGATTTTTTTTTATAGCCATTATTTGAGTCATTTTTGGATTGCTTACACATATATTATCAATGATATGTCATATCTACCCATCTTTTTAATAATTTGAAATTTGATGAACTGACTCGCTTGTTAGGTAAAGGACGATTCTCGGTTTGGAGAACAGTCTCCTGGGCTAATAATTTTTTTCATGAAAAATATAGAAATATTACCCAAATTAAACTATGAATATTCAAAAGAGGACATTTACATCTACAAGATGTAAAAATAACAAATTGGTCTGAAGCAGGGATAATGCTCAATTAGACTGATTCAATAAAATACAAGTCTTGATTTTGGGGAAAGAAGTTCATCAGTGTACTGCGCTAATATTTTTTTGCGAAAAATCTAAAAATATTACCCAATTTAAATTATGACTATTCAAAAGAAAACATTCAAATCTATATTATGTAAAAAAATCCAATTTGTCCAAAACAGGGATAATGCTCATTTAGATTGAAGAACTTCGTTCTCCAAACCGAGAATCGTCCTTTTAAGAAAGCAAGTATGAGGCCCGTTATTATAATTATGAAGCCCGAACAAGCATGTACGAGGCTCATAATTTTAAATTCAAGGCCCGTAAAAGCATGTACGAGCCTTGTAATTGAACTATAATTCAAGCACTAAAGAGCACGAAAAAGGAAATCATTTGTCAGCTATTGTTTGATTTGAACTTATCCACTATATACAATTTACTACTTATCTAACATGCTATTCTAACCATAACTATCCTCGGATGCCTACGCTGACTTAACTAACTTACTTAATCTCATTTGATGATGCAGACAGTAATGTATTTATATGCACGTTTTATACGAGTTAATAACATATTTATTCCCATTCACATATAATTGAGTAACAAGCTTTTATGTGCCTCGTTACGAGCCTCGTACAGGCAATTACTTGGGTCGAAAGTTACTGGGTCTTAGGGGCATCGTAATGACAGGCCATTACATAGTTCGGAAATAATGAGCTATTAGGGGCCTCATTACGATCCACGTAAGCAAGTAGTTACGGGCCTCGTTACGGGCAAGTGCATGGGTCATGAGTCCGTTGAATGTCACAACCTGTATATCACACTCTATTTATCATACTATGTATGTCATACTCTGTGTGCCACACCCTGCATGTCACACTCTGTATGTCACACTCTGTTCATTTTACACTGTATGTAACACTCTATATGTAACACTGTGTATGTCACACTCTGTATTTAAGAACCTGTATGTCACTCTCTATATATTACACTTTGAATGCCACACTCTACATGTCACACTCAGCATGTCACATTCGGCATGTCAAACTCTGCATGTCACACTCTGTATGTTACATCCTAACTTACAAAAATTGACCTTACCTCCCAATGGGTGAACTTGAGCTGAGGGCTTGCAAGTCCACTTGTCTTCTTCCTGATCTCTTCTGCAAAGCCAAAACTCTCTATGATTGGTAGCACTGCCTCCACATTGAACATCTGGGTCCCCTCCTTCATGTCATCACTCAAGATACGACCATTCCTTTTGCCTAGTACTCCATACATCTTGCCTGGTGATATGGAGAAAATATTAACAGATTAAGTTCAGTATAACCTTCACAGTGATCATACACATGCAGTGTACTCAAAATTCAGCTGCATTCTTATAATACAAAACAGAAATGTTCTTCTTATATTCACATTTGGACATTTTTGCTTACAAGAGGGTAATCTTCAAACTGATAACTTTTTTCTACTGAACACAGTGTACTAAGCAGGATTGGTTCCCAGAATTCTTTCATGATCTTTTGACTGGCTTGGACCATGTTGGTAATAATATTACCATAATGTTCATCTCCAGATGAAGCATCTAGATGGCAAATGAACATTATTGCCAACATGTTCATTGCCAGTCAAAGAAGGTCATGAAGAAGGCTGGGAACCAATCCTCCTTTGCTATATACTATAGTTACTTTCTGAATCTTACCTAAAACTTCAGCAGTACACTGTATTTCACAAGCATACATGGCAGCCATGAGTCTCTGTGGCTGGCTTTGAAAGGCTTTTCTGCACCCATATTTCACACAGGACATCAACTGGCCACTAAATGGACCATGTGCCAGGACTTTCTGTCTAACTGGGGGACCCTCATCACTCCTTGGCTCAACAAATGTAATTTTAGATAATTTTTTAGTGGTTTCATTAATTTCCTCATTATTAGTGTGGTCATCTGAGTCAGTGTCAGATTCAGTGTTGTCATCTTCAATATCTTGTTTATCATCTGTAGTGTTAATTGGTGTTTCAATTATATCCTGAGATTTCAATTCATCATCATCTTTTTCCGTTCCCTCGTTAGTGCTCAGTTTATGTTTACGGCCATGTAGCTCCCATTTTTCAATGATAAAGCCAACTCCCATCATGGGTTCTTCACAAATGGGACCTGACAGAGTCGCTAATTGAAAGCCACTGGCTATACTGTTGTCATACTCCCAAAGGTTTAACTTACTATTTGAATCCTCTATAGCACTCCATATGGATGGGCGGTTATAGCCCTCTATTCTGTTCAATAAGATATTAGGACCATTATGTCTTGGCCCAACACACCATATTCTATCAATCGCATCTGTCCATATAGGATCATTTGACTCATTAAATGCTTCTGTCAAATTACTTTTCAATGTTTGTAGACCTTTCACAACATCAATATTAAGGCTCTTTTGATTATCTGATTTAGATTCATTTTCTGTTGTTTTAATATGCATTGCTAGTGTCTTGAGAAGTTGGGCATTATTCAGTAGTAGTTTTGTAGCAGCCTCGGGCAATGGTGCTGCCCTAATGCCAATAGTACATCTGCCGTTTGCAGTTTTAACTTCTGTGATACCATTGGTGGGACCTTCTTTTTCTGTATCAGCTTCAGTGTCATCCTGTTTGGAGGACCCAGTCATATCCTGTTTGTTGGATTCTGATGCCTCCTGTTTGTTAGATCTATTTATGTTCTGTTTTGAAGTATCTCTTGATGGTTGGTTGGTTTCTTCAATCACCTCATTTACCATGTCTATAGTGGGCGGGATAACTATGGTCTCTCTAAATGGCACTATAGGTGGAGACACATTCACCTCAATCTTAGCGTACCTGCATGGGAAACATCAAAATAAGTTAATTAAAAAAATTGAAAAGAAGATTCCAGATTTTATTGTCTTTCAAGCCAAAACAATTGGCTTTCTCACAAAATCAATTGCAAGACATAGTTATATACAGTTATACAGTAAAATGCATTGTTAAACAAATATTCAAATGTGACTATCTTATAAACTAAACATCAATTAGTTTTGAATTTAACACGTAATGTTTTCAAGATCTTACTCTTATACATTTTGGTCAGTTAGAGAATGGAAATTGTTCACTCACAACTTTGTGATGTCATCAATGCATCTTTGTAGATGGACCTCCCCAGCTGCAATTATGACGTGCTCCCCTGTTTCTTGGACCAACAGTTCTACACAAGGATCAGCCTGGTTTAATAGTCTCAACCCATGTACCAGCTTTGACATGTCACCTGTAATGGGAAGTAATAATGAATAAGCATATTATGACTACAAATTTAAGCTAGTTCTAGTTCCTAGGGCACTTACATATGTTTAACACTGGAATTAAAACTCACAAATATACTGAACTTATCAACATCACTTGCAACATACCAGATAGGGAAACACTAAAAATGATACAGAATTCTATATTGTCCAGAAATGTAATATTCTGATGACAAAAAGTTTATCTCTCTTAAGAGCATGACAAATGGGTTAAATAACTAATGTAGGCACCCTAAAATGGATATAAGGATTATAGTTCAGATTTGAGTGGCAATTTTGATTTTTCCAAACATTTTTCACAATGTGAGCCCTTAAATAATGAGTACTAGTAGGCCTACCTGTATTCTTTGGTTCTATAGCTACTCTGACTATAGGAGCTGCCTCAAACTGCATTTCTGTAAATGGTGGGCAGTTCAATGTACTTGAGATTGTAGCTGACTTTAAAACATAATCTTCTAGACCCCCTATACCTACAAATAAAATACTTCCTTATGATGAAAGCAACTCTATGCGTTCTTCCGACAGAATAAAAACTTATTACTTTTGATTTTCATGATATTTCAGATGGAGTGATAAGTACTTGGTCTTTCATTGATTATTAAAAACAGCTTCAACAGGACACACTGTTATTGAGTGTGTAATATGTCCTCAATACTCATGATTTTTGATCCTTTTTCCATCTAAACTAAACAGTGCCTCTTTATAGTAATATGCATATTCTATTTAGACAAGGAAAAATAGTTTTCTCTGTAGAACTAGTTTAACAAAAATTTGCAAAATTTCATATTATGGTTATTTCAATAATAGAGAGAATATCCTAATATATGTCAACAGTTTACACAAACTGTACATTCACATTAAAAATTCTTTGACATTTTTTTTGTTTTTATTACTAATACAGTACACTTTTTCTCACTTACCTAACACATTTCCGGCTGGGATATTTTCTACAGCTTCAAGTTCCCGTCCCATGAATACATAAAGATCATCAACTGTGACAACAGTCACATGGGGAATGTCACCAGTATAAGTATCAGCTGGTATGTTCAACTCCTACAAGGCAAACACATAAAGATCATCAACTGTGACTACAGACACATAGGGAATGTCACCAGTATAAGTATCAGCTGGTATGTTCAACTCCTACAAGGCAAACACATAAAGATCATCAACTGTGACCAAAGACACATGGGGAATTTCACCAGTATAAGTATCAACTGGTATGTTCAACTCCTACAAGGCAAACACATAAAGATCATCAACTGTGACAACAGACACATGGGGAATGTCACCAGTATAAGTATCAACTGGTATGTTCAACTCCTACAAGGCAAACACATAAAGATCATCAACTGTGACAACAGACACATGGGGAATGTCACCAGTATAAGTATCAGCTGGTATGTTCAACTCCTACAAGGCAAACACATAAAGATCATCAACTGTGACTACAGACACATGGGGAATGTCACCAGTATAAGTATCAGATGGTATGTTCAACTCCTACAAGGCAAACACATAAAGATCATCAACTGTGACCAAAGACACATGGGGAATGTCACCAGTATAAGTATCAGCTGGTATGTTCAACTCCTACAAGGCAAACACATAAAGATCATCAACTCAACTGTGACTAGAGGCACATGGGGAATGTCACCAGTATAAGTATCAGCTGGTATGTTCAACTCCTACAAGGCAAACACATAAAGATCATCAACTGTGACTACAGACACATGGGGAATGTCACCAGTATAAGTATCAGCAGGTATGTTCAACTCCTACAAGGCAAACACATAAAGATCATCAACTGTGACTACAGACACATGGGGAATGTCACCAGTATAA